TTCAGGAGAACTGGTAGCGGCAGCTGTGGGAGGCTCTACCCACCTGCCCAGATGTCATCACATCCCATTTTTGATGCTCTGCTCATGCACGGAAGGCTCTGCGTATGTGCGGAGGTGGCACGTGCGCTCCCTTTTGCGAATTGGTAGCAAAGGTAAGTGAATATCACCCCTGCTCTTCACACTGCTCTGACTCATTTGGAAGGGGGGGGGCTATGTAAGGATGCTTTTTGTAGATTTTAGCTCTGCATTTAACACAATACTTCCACATAGACTAGTGTCTAAACTTATAGATCTTAAGACTTTCTTATTCAATATGCCTTTGGATTATGGATTTCCTGTCTGGCTTCTCTCAGAGGGTCAGATTAGGTAATCATATCTCTTCAGCCCTTATTCTTAACACTGGTATACCACAGGGTTGTGTGTTGAGTCCCTTACTCTATACTCTTTATGTGCGTGACTGCATTCCCACTCACGCTAGTATTACTATTACTAAATTTGCAGATGATACAACAGTGATTGGACTCAGCTCTGGGTGGGATGAGTCTGCCTATCGAGATGAGGTAGACCGGATGCTTTCATGGTGTGCAGACAATAACTTGGTCCTTAACACTAGTAAGACAAAGGAGCTTATAGTGAACTATAGAAGGAGCAGATCAGACATCCAGCCCTTGCTTATGTATGGGGACTGAGTGGAGCAAGTGGCCAGTTTTAAGTTTCTGGGTGTTATAATAAAAGACGACCTGACCTGGGGCACTCCAGTGGTGGGTTGCCCCTGGTTTGCATCGGTTCTATAGAACCGGTAGTAAAACCAGCGGGAGGCCCCACTCACCGACCCTGATGTCATAAAAACGCTTCTGCACATGTGCAGAAGAGTGCGAGCGAGCGAAGCAAGTGTGCGTGCGTGGCCCCACTGCGAACCGGTAGTAAAGATAAGTAGAACCCACCCCTGGGGCACTCATATTGCAGCACTGGTCAAAAGGGCCCAGCAGAGATTATACTACCTGAGACTTCTCAGGAAACAACAAATGAAATTGCTAGTGACCTTCTACCACTACACTATAGAGTATCTTAACTTACTGCATCTGTGTATGGTTTGCCAATTGCACAATGGCAGATAGGACAGCACTCCAGAGGGTTAATGTCATTGCCCGAGGATCTTTGGTTGCCCTCTCCACTCTTTGGAAGAGGTTTATAGTTCCCGCTGCCTTAAGAAAGTTCAAAGCATTCTTAAAGATCCATCCCATCCTGGGCATCCTTTTTTTGAACTATTACCATCTGGCAGACGGTATAGGATAATAAAAACAAGGACAAATAGGCTGAAAAACAGCTTCTATCCCAGGGCAGTAACTATATTGAATTCTACTGTATAGGGCAATACTAATGTAATATCAGGTTTTCAATTCAATTGTATAGAATGTGAAGGATGTGTGTGTGTGTTTTATTTTATAATGTACACTGAAGATGGCATTTAATTTTGTTGTACAAGGTGCAATGACAATAAAGTAAACTAAACGATTCGAAGTTGACGATTATAGTGAAACCATTTAATTCAGAATTAGAATAAATATTAACAGATTCACTACCACTTAATATAATCACTACTATATATTCAAGTACAGAATTAATAAAGGCAAAACCTTGCATGCTGGCTATCAATGTCAGAAGAGCCACAGTGTCTAGAAATAATCAGTTCAGATATGTGTTGCTACAGCTTGACAGGGAATGCAGTGTTTGACAAGAAAGTAGAATGTCAACATAATGAACATTCTGCTTCCTAGGGAGTTTGTGATTGCCAAGAGTATAATATTGTTATTAGAGTTCGGGGGATTTTTCTCTATACAACAAGCTGTCCTACTTTGTTCTTTGTGACACACATCACTCTCAATGCTCAATGATGATATATTGCTCTACTTTGGACATTACCAGCTAACCCCAAGAGGCAGAGGGTATGCTGCTACAGAACTTAAGGGGAAACATAACTACAGAATACCAGCTTTGAATTAGTTCCTAAAGAAATATGACAAAATGTTTACAAGTCAATCACATTATAAAGAAATGTCTCAAGTCTATAAAACACAAGCCATTGTGTTGCAATCTTGCCTCTATTTTGCTACCAGAGAGATCTTTAAAAGATTTCAGTATCTGGCACCCAGATTTTGAAGTGTTTCATTGAATCACTGCAGATCTGCACATAATTAACTTGTAATGAAGTGTCATTTTACTTCAAAGGAAGTGGGTGCCACGTTGTAGTATATCAGTTTATCTCTAGAATTTTCAATATGTTCCTACTGAAAATAGAGAGCTCTTTTGCAGTTCATCAGGCTTTCTCGTTCCTCCCCCATCTTATTCTTTTAACTGTGGAAGAATTAAAAAATACATGCTATAGAGTGATCCATCATCCTGTAGCATAAGAAATGTGAGGGAATGAAGCATGTATTTTGCCTATGAACTGAGTGTTTCTTTGCTTCTTAGTCCTATGTACAGTATCTAACCTAGTTTGGTATGGAATGTTCTGTAAATATTGTTGCTACGTTTTCTTCCAAATGGAAACTGGTTTTATGGTAATGTGCTTTGATTTCGGGGGGGGGGGGGGGTAGTTGAGGGTAAAGCATGTTTAATATGAAATGACAGGACAGTCTTATCACACAGAAATGTTCCCCAAACTAATGTTTAGCTATATACACTACACTTTTTATTGTGAATCCATGAATCACAGGAACAAACCTCTCATTTAATAATTAACTACAAGAATTAGAGCTGAAATGCTGGATAAACAGATACTCTTAAAACCAATGACTCAAAAAAATGGAAAATGCTAACAAGCACATTCTGGAGCTACTTGTCCTGATATGTTTTGAGTTTTTATATGCACCCTCTTTTAACTTTTTATCAGTTGGCAGCTTATCCAATAAATACAGGTAATTCTTGATTTATGACCATAACTGAGACCAAGGCAGTTATTAAGTGAATCACACCCAATTTTACAATGTTTTGTTTTGCTTTTTGCAATGGTTAAGTGAATCCGTGCAATTGTTAAGTGAACTATGTGGCCATTAAGCCAATCTGGCTTTCTCCATTGACTTTGCTTGTCAGAAGCTTGTCAGAATTTTGGGGATATGATGATGGGGATGTTGAGACAGACATGTGAGGAACAGTTGTAAGTCACTTTGTTCAATGCCACTATAACTTCAAATGGCCACTAAACAAATGGTTGTAAGTTGAGAACTACCTAGAAGAGTATTATAATTTTCAACACCTAACTTTACCTACATGTCTATGGAGATTCTCAGTCATCCGGGTTATGTTTGCCCTAAAGGTGCTTTTTCAGGAGGCAACTGGACTTTCCGGTTTTTCTTTGAAGACATTTCACTTCTCATCCAAAAAGCTTCTTCAGCTCTGGCTGGATGGTGGGAAATGGAAGGATTTATACTCCTAGGAGGGCCTGCCTTGTATTTTCCATTTCCCAGCATCCAGCCAGAGCTGAAGAAGCTTCTTGGATGAGAAGCTAAACATTTTCAAAGAAAAACCAGAAAGTCTAGTTGCCTCCTGAAAAAGCACCTTTGGGATAACTTTACCTACCGCATAGCAGCAGTAGGCCACATCATCAGGCAAGTCAGCTTACTAAATCTGTAATAGCTCTAGTATAAATCAAAGATACTCCGATTGGTGTTTTTTCTGGAAGGCTGTTTTTCCGCTACTTGCAGCAGCCATCGGTGGGTGTATCAAAACATATTGTGGGCGTCTGGCAGGTTTAGGAGAGTAAGAGTGAGAGAATATTTTGAAGACACTGCTTAGCAGATAAATGGTATAGCATGCATTTCCTTCCCAAAGACTATGGTACAGATCTCTCCCAGTAGATTGTTCATATAATTCATATATTACCTAAAGAAAGGGACGAACAGAATAAAAGTTTGCGCACTTTGGCTCCGTCTCAAATTTCCTAAGAAAACCTTAGGAATATAGTGGCTGGAATAAGATACAGAGCCAGCATGCAGTTAAGTTGTCAAGGGGGAACATTAGATTGCCAAGGCCTTATATTGCCTAAATAAACAGTGTGGGGAGGCAGAGGCATCTCCTGGTTTCCACATTCTTTAGAGGCCACACCAGTGGTGAAATCCAAAATTTTTTACTACCAGTTCTGTGGGCATGGCTTGGTGGGCTTGGTGTGTGTGGCAGGGGAAGGATACTGCAAAATCCCCATTCCCACCCCACTCCAGGGGAAGGATATTGCAAAATCTCCATTCCCACCCCACTCTGGGGCCAGCCAGAGACGGTATTTGCCAGGTCTCAGAACTGCTCAAAATTTCCGCGACCGGTTCTCCAGAACCTGTCAGGACCTGCTGGATTTCACCCCTGGGCCACACCACAATAGGAGCTGCTTGAGAGGTCAATCCCACGACGCCGTGAGGCACACTTATATATAAAAAAAACAAAACCCCAGAAAACACCGTTTCGCCCACCGAGGCTTGCTTGCTTCCTTCCTTCCTCCCCCAAACCCTTACAACCCAGGCCTTCAACACAAACCTCACAAGCACTTAACAAAAGCTCGAGCAAAAGGGGGAGGGGCTACGGCCGGCCTCAAGGGCTGAGCAAGCTCCCAGCTCCGGGGCTTTTCCAAGGCAGCAGCACCTCGATAGAGCCAAGGACAGTAGAGACCTCAAGCCAGCGTCACGGGGGGAAGCCACCGACCTCCCAACCGTAAACCAAAGGAAGAAGGACACCTCGTCTCGGGGGCGACTCCGTCACTCTGCAGCCCATCTCCGCCCCCAGCTTTGAAGGCGGAGGAGCGGAAGACCCGGGCGACGTGCTGCTGCTACTACTTGAGGTCAGAAAAGGCGGCTAGTAGGAAGGCCCACCAGAAGCCAATCTTCCCCCTTCCGGAAAAGTCGAGCGAGCCTTCCGAGGCCCCTGCCCGCAGCGACGGACCCTTACCCGCGGGCGAGATTCCAGGGGATTCCCCCCACCCCACCCCGACCTCTTATTCTCCTTTCCTAACTCACCGCGCTGAGCTTCTGCTTCGCCCAGAGAGGCAGCCGGCTAAAACGACAGCCGAAAGAGGAGGAGCAGGAAGCGGACCTCCTGCCAGCAGGATACCTTCCCTTGCCGCCCGGCAGGGTGATGTCCCGTTTTGTTCTGTCCCGTCCCGTCCCCGTTTCGCACACTCAGAGCTTGCGGTCCGGCTGGAGCTCGCTGCTTGACTAAGAAGGTGCTTAAAACAGCTACCAGGCGCGTAAGGGTCAGAGCAGGGGGTTATTTGCCGTGCAATTCCCAAAGGTCGGGGGCTCCGAGCGAGGTCTCTGCTGCTGGCTCTAGCAGAAATCCGATCTCCGGGCGCAATGCGTCGCCCCAACTTTCATGGCCAAGTGGGCTTCCAAAGGAGAAGAGAAAAGGCGACTTTGATCTGTGTTTGGCATCGCAGCCACCTCCACGTTTTGCAGATGGGGAAAAAAAAAACACACACCCCCGGAGTGCTTTTTTTTTAATGCAGAAGTTTGATTTTGTTTCATAACTTTCCACAGGCCTGGCTTCTCCAGCCACCCACCCACCCCTCGCCCGTTCCCAAGAGAAATGTCGGAAGCTGATCTGCAGGTCATGCTGTCTCTCTTGCTCAGGGAGGGCAAGCTCCCCCTTTGCCCCCTCACCCCCCTTATAGAGCAGAGAGTGTGACAGGTGAAAATAGGGGAGACCAACTTTTCTTCTTTTTTTGTCTCCCTTTTTTCCTCTCCATCCCGCTTATAAAGAGGGAAAGAACCCTTTGATATCTGCCAGGATCCCTCTTCAAGTGTTAACAAAACGAGAGTGTAGGAATTAATTTATCTTAATTTATCGTGTCATTTAATACAGTGGCCAGATAGATGCTCCTAAAAGTCCAAAGTTCATCATTCGTGATTGGCATTCAGGTCCTGCCTCTGACCCTGGAAGAACCCTCATCATGACTAGGTGCCATTGATAATCATATCTTAAATGAATAGATTTCCATTTTGAAACTGCTATAGAAAAAGAATACCATATGGCCAAGCTGACAGCCAGCAACTAGAGAACCAGTTTGTATGCCAGCTTAGATTTATCATGCTTTCCGTTTAGAAATATGGTTGACTTTGCTTTATTTAAAGCAAAGGTAAAAAATAAAATCAGTGTTATATGTTTCTTTTAAATGCATTTCTTGTTTGTACAGGTTCACCAATTTAGATTCTATTGTAGATATTTTATTTCTGTAAACAATTTTGTTAAAATCAGGTTGCAAATGTTTCATTGTAACAATATTTCTGTAAATCAAAGAAAGTCATAGTATTGCAGTGGTTTAAACATCAAATTAATGAATAAATAAAAAGTGTGTAAAATCTCATGGAATCGAAGCACCAAATGGATTTTCCTGACGGCAAAGAAATAATTGCCTAAGACATATAATTTTAATGTCCATGGAAAAATCATGCACATATGAAAGCAATATGGACACTAGAATCTGGCAGATGCAAAAAGTCACTTGATGGATCAGGTTAACAGTCTTTTAAACAATCCTTTTTGATTTCAGTGGACACTTAGTGGGTGCATTGTAGTAGCTATTTCCCTTATTCCATTCAAAAACTAATTGTGATGACTTGGCCACAAAAACAATTTCTTAATAAGAAAGTCAGGCAAAATGTCCCAGAATAACAATATGTTCACTTGCAAAATGGGTGAATGACATCATTGTCATATTTTGGTACTATATCTGGTTCCCAGTGAAAACATATTCTTTTGGAGTAAGAACAATGGCAAATTCCAGCATAAAATTATTAATTATCTACGTTTGCTTTAAATATGATGTGTTCTGTTTCATTCACTATGCTGTTATGAAATGCACTGTTATGAAATGCACAGTTATGAAATGCTTTACTGTTACTAAATAGCTATCACATGACATGACTAGTTTTAAACAGTAATATATGTTTTGCATACAGAAATCTAAAGTTAACATACGGCATCCAGATAGCTATAAAAATACTTTCATAGTATTATGAATATCTATCAGTCCATCCATCCATACAGGGAGGGAGGGAAGGTGGGTGCAACAGTGCTGTTTAAAAATGGTCAAGATCACTTGATAAAGAAACTGTAAAGCAATATGAATTAATTCCCACTTTATTATGAAAATTGATCTTTTGCAGGGGTATCAAACTTGTGTCGTCACATCATGTGACGTATTGTGACTTTTTCCCCCTTTGCTAAATAGGGTGGGCGTGGCCAGTGCATGACACGGCTGGCCCACGGGCTGCGAGTTTGACATCCCTATGCTAGATCAATGCAGTTTGAAATATTTTTGTAGAAGAAACCTTATTAATGCTATTGCACCAAAGGTCAGCCTGGAATCTCACTGGTAATAATGTATATACTACTACCAGTGAGATTCCCAAATATAGCACCCAAATATTGAAATATTCCTTAAACCAGTCAAGAGGTACTAACAGAATCTTAACCTACTAATATATTTATAAAGCTTCATGATATTTGAAATGTTTGATTAGTTAAGGTTTGCTAAATAGTGTTATGAATAGATTGTATGCATGTGGGTGATATTTTCCCTAGGTATAGCAGGAATAGTCATTCTGTAGTATCCAAACCTTTCCATAAAAGCTTATGATCACAGTTCAGTTTATAAAAGAAAACTCTAGATAATAGTGCAATACTAATACTAAAGATAATACTATTGATATTTTTGGAGCTTTATTTAGATCAGCTAATATTCTCCATAAGACAGTATGTCGAATTACATGGAATGCTTTCTTAAATATACTTAGCAAAAAACAAAGGATCTTTACTAATTCCTGGGGGGGGGGGTGTTGCATTGCAAGACGTCTGGAATCACACAAATCCAAAAAAGCCACATTATGGCCTCTTGTGAAGTCAGCCTTTAGTTCCTGTATTGGATTGTTTTCCAAGTCATATTCATTTTCAGGTTTATCAGTTTTTGGCAGAGAGCTTGTGTATTCCATGTCCTTGTTTCCATTTCTTGGTCACCTGAACTGTTGCAACCCAGATTTGGTAGCTATCATACCAAGTAAACTACAGTATATATTATGTTTAACAAACCATGCTCCAAATCACATTCGGTTTAGTTTCTTTTTTTATGAAATGGTCCAGAGAACCTTTCAACCTTCTGAAACAGAATTACTGTTATTCCATCCTGAAATAACCACACTGGCTTTTTGGATGAGCAATCGGGCTCCAGTCAGAGGAATAATTTTACCCCGCAAGTAAAAGTACACCTGGTTTATCAATTAGCATTTCTTGTTCAAGCTGAGATGCACCTTCCTGGGAAAGCGCAACCAAGGAGACAGGCGAACCGGCTGGTCTACTATATTTGGAAAGCCCAGCCAAAGTGGGCGGTGTCCTTCTAAGCTAGGCAAGAGAGTTCCGCAGCGGTAGGAAGCATGGAAGGATGTTTCAGACGGCTGGGTCAATTCACTTTTGGCTTAATTACGCAGCCGGCTGCAAGTAGGCTAAGCCGCTGCGGTGGACGAAAGATAAGCCAGCTGACATGGAGCCACCGTGAGAGCGTCCTGCATAGATTGGAATCGGCGGCTGGCATCGGTCGCCTTTGCCCTCCAGGCTGTAAGTGCTCCGGCGGGGTTGGGAGAATCGGAGCGTAGGAGGGCGCTCTTGTTTCCTGGATTGCTAAACTCAGTGCTAAGTGATGGGCAAATGCTTTAACTTGGTTGAACCCGGTTCCTGGGGAAAAAAATACTGAGCTTTTAAAGAATCCGATTGCTTTAATGTAGCAACTTCATCCGTGGAAAGTGGAGAGAACGAGGATTCGGATTGACGCCCCATGTAACTTCCACTGGGGTGTCCAAATTTCAGTTTTACGTTAGTGGGTTTGGCAGTTTCTCTGCGGTTTTTCAGCCTGATTTCCTCATTTGTAAAAATTTCTTCACTGTATCTTTTTCTGACTAGCAATCTTATGGTAGAAGATAGTTTGAGTATTACATCAAAACTGTAGTAATACACAGAAACAAGTACTATAGCCTAATATTCACATTATGCTAAGTAAGCCATGAATTGTTGTATAATACACAGGTTAATGTATTTAGCTCCTTAAATGGTATAAGTCTAAGAAAGCAATCATAAAAGTTGGTATTTGTTTTATTAAAAAAAAGTTAGACTTTTCTGAAAGAATTGGAATGATTTCCTCTGGTTTATGATTCCACTATGTTCACATGGTTTGCTAAAACAAAAACCACGGTTTACAATACACAATGATTAAGACAACATCAAACCAGATTGATTAAAATAGCATAGGAACCAGACTATCTTATTCAACCATCATGTGGTTTGATACTTTAGCTTCATGGGTTAAGCCAACACAGCTTTTGTATTATAAAACATAACCTAAGTTGCTGCCTTTGAGCAGAGTAAAGGAATAATATATGAAATTCATGTGATCTGGAAAACTGCTCTGGGGTAAATATACAGACAGCGTGTCTGGACTCTGCTTGTCCATATAAATGCTTGGTCAATGTATTGATTACCTAGCTGGTGTTGTTGCCCAGCAGCATTTAGAAGCAAATTAGTGCTTTGATGATCATGTCAGAATCTGTAGTACTATTGTTTACTTATTTTACAGATCCAAAAAACAGGAGACAAATCGTTCGCCACTTTTGCACAGATGAGGATCATAATGTCTCCTGTCAACAGCTCAAAGATTTGTTGGCATCAAAGGCCATCCAGCTTATTGATGTTAGAGAAAAATCGGAAATTGCAGAGCATGGAAAAATTCCTGGCTCAATCAATATTCCATGTAAGTTGCTGTTGGGTGATTTAGAGCAAGGAAAAAGCAAAAGTCCATCTCATTGTATACAAGGGGAGAAAACATGGCATTATCTTATTTATGGTACTTTCTGTACTTGGATTTTTGCAGCAGGCCAACTCTTATCATCCAGAGAAGTCAAAGAGGTACAACAAAAGAGGCAACAAAACATACATCACCACACAGGTCCTGTCATTTGTGTCCAGCATTGGGATACAAATAGAAAAGAGCAAGATTTGCATTGTGATGTCACTAAGAGTGTGTGTGTGTATGCACGCGTCATTGTGGCACATGGGATCCCTATGTAATGACTCAGTTTATGCTTAGCATGAAAATGGTACTCCAGCCAATGGGTCATCATAAAAAAGACCAATTAAATCAATGGGGATTGTTTATTTTTTACAGTGGGAGAAGTTATGGAAGCTTTACAGATGGACCCAGTATATTTTAAAGAGAAATACAATCAAGATATGCCTTCTAAATCAGATCACATAGTGTTTTCCTGTTATATTGGAGTGAGAAGCAAACAGGCTCTAACTGTTGCAAAATCATTGGGTTACAGAAGGTAAGTGTAAAGCATTCAGGAAATGTGTGTGTGTGTGTTTTATTGCAAATGAGTTGTTTCTAGTTTTAAAAATATTATGGACTTAAAAGGAGAAATGCAAATCAGGGGAAAGTGTTTACTCTTTAACATTTTGCTCTTAAAATGCAATGGATAGGATTGATCCAATAAATAGCATCTGACAGTTTCTGAATAACACATCTGAAAATCTAAACCTGAGAAAAAATGTACTATGGATGTACTAAATCTACTAAGAGATCAAATTTACCCCAACAAACATTAACTTGCATTCAAACCATTTGATACAGAAATTTTCTTATCTCCCCCCCCCCACACACACACACAAATATGATTGTAGAAGGAAAAACAGTGCCATCATGTACTTCATTCGGGACAAAGATAATTCAGTATTTAAAACTTGTGGCAAGACTCACATTTGCATCACTTTTATTTTCTAATATAGGCATCCCCTTTTCCAGTTGGGTTTAATATATTTTAAGGGCTATCAATCCATTTTTAAACAGAAATACACTGCTTCTAGATGATTCTTACCCCACAATTCAAAGACCATGTCATTATTCAGCCTTTTACTTAGCCAATAAAAAAAAAAGAACAAACTTGGAAGTACTGTGAGAAAATATTTGTAACCCTGTGAAATTCAATGTTTGGATTAAAGTATTCTAAACCAGTCTGTTTAAAAATCCTAACATAACCAAAATCAAGTAGAGTGGCCAAGTACTAAGAATGTCTCATTTAAGAACAACTAAAGAAACATTTTATTCTACATCCTTATATTTGCTATTATTCAAAATTACTTTATTATGTGGCTGATTTCCAAAAGTATTTAACTAGTGCAATTCAATCTTTCTCACTACTTTATCTCTACTAAACATTGTTTACTCTTTGAGGAAGATATTATGCATGGGGTTTTTTGTTTCCTTGGTATAAAATAAAATTACTATCCCAGAATATTTGTCCTACATCTCTGGTCAGCATACTCTTAAGAGGATAATGTTCGTGAAATGTTACAGAAGTTGTCTTATGTGCTTTCAGAGTTCAGCATTTTCCTGGTGGCTTCAAAGAATGGCTGGAGTGTGGATCTTCAAAGAAGAAATGATATCTAGAATACACAAACTGTAGGTGTTCTGAAAATGCAGAGAGGGTGATAGCTAATTCTATTTAATAAAGTGCATCAAGGTATAAAAGGCGTCTAGGCATATTAAGACATGGTTATTTTGCCAACAAAGAAAAACCACTGAGATACGCTTCAAATGTTTAGCCTGGATAACATGGAAATTTTTGTTTAAATTTTAAAACTAATTGAAATAGATTTAAGAAACTTACAACTGTTCATTACAATACATTTAGTAATAAGTAATATTTAAGTAAAATAAAGTGGAATTAAGTTAGCTATTTATTAATCAAAATTTATATAGCTGCCCATTATATGAGAAATATTTATCTCTGGACATGAAACAAAAATATACTATGTCAGCCTCATGATGCTTGCTTGCTTTCAGCTGCCATTGTAACGGGAAGGGGGAGGTATTGTAGGTATTTGGGAGTGGGGGGAAGTGAGCTGGTGGAGATGTCTCGGAAAAGGAAGGAAAATTCTCAGTCTTTTTAGCAGCTGCGGAGAGAGCTGATAACTGTCAAGGTCAACCGTCCCAGCATACCAGATAGATGGGGCCGCCTAAAGAAGTACCCCACATGACACCTTGGGGGGGATGTGGATTGGACATTCAACCTTGGACTGGGAGGGGAGGGATTTGGGGGATTCCAAATCCCTTGGGGGTTTTCAATATGTAATTTTCGCACTTATTGCCTCAAACTTTGCTTTTCTTTCACTGCATTCAGTTCATACTCAGTAAAAGTACCTTTCTCTACAAACATGGAGTTGGAGTTTTTCTTTCTTGAGTTTTGAACAGAGGCAAGCCTGACATACTATTAAAATGTTAAGACCAAAGCTTGGGAAAATGGCACTAAAATGTTTAGCCAGGTTATAGATAGGACCTATATTTTTTTCAACTTCATATTCAGGAATTAAGCCTCAGTCCTGCTTATTGTTCTTGACTTTCAACTATCTCTAGATATTAAATATTTGCAGAAATAATATCAAGAAATACATTTTTGTACATGCAGAGGAAATTGACTAGAGACATGTATCAGTGATAAGGTTTCTATATGCAACTTTTAAATTAGAAACACAATCTATTTCTGCATAAACAACTTCTGTAAAATTGCTGAGAGATTTACATAACATGAGAACACTGAATTTCCAGTACAGTGCGCTATGTGCTGAATGGTATGAGGACCATTATAATCCCACTTTAAGATAATGAAACTGATAAAATTTTGTTAACTCATTTGAATATGGAAAATAGCTCTCCAACTTTTAGTGTATGTTTCTCTTCTCATAGCCAGAGAGAAAAAAGGCAAACACATTACTTTCAACTTGTGATAAGGCACTCCACAGAAATTTTTTAATTTTTAATTTTTTTTTAAATGTATGATACGCCCATGTGTTCTGATGCAATACTTGTAAGAATTATTGCTTATGGTTCTGAAATAAAATAGTCAATGTTGTTAATTCCATTGTTTTATTCCTATGCAGCTAGTCCATATTACAAATAAAGTTGAAATCCTCAAGTTAACAAAGTAATTTCCAAAACACAACAGATGTGGTGGCTAATTCTGTTAGCAAATGTGTGGGACAACATGACCAGCATCAACAAAATTGGCAAAACTGAAAAGGGAACATGAAAAAGCTAAAATTAAAAAAAAAATCCTCACAATTGTTTTTGTCAGTCAGTATCCAAACACTCTGTAAAAAAATAACTTCCAACACTTAAGTTCAGAGAGCCCAAGCGTTTGCATACAAAAACACTTTGGTTACCCTTAATTCAGTGACATATCAAGTAGACGCAGGCACTGCTGCTTTTAGATCAAGTTTTAGAACAAGCACCATTTGACAATACTCTTTCAACCAACGTTCCTTTGTTTGTATCATGGCAGAATAATGCTCCCTTGGGTGAAAGGCATCTTAAAGCAGCCTTTTCCAACTGGCACCTTCACTATGTGTTGTACTTTGTAATCTCCCTAATCCTCCACTAACATGGCCATGTTAGCTGGCCTGAAGGCAACAGTAATCTAATACAGCTAGAAGGCATCATGTTGGGGAGAGCTACTTTAGCCTGAAAGACAGGTTACTTTTAACTCATTTTAGGGTCCCAAACAAATAGTCCATGAAGATTTCAGGGCTCGGGACTAAGTAGGGAAATCTGAGTAAAGAACACGCATATGGCCCTTGAGTTTAAAAAAAGGGAACATCCTGTCTTTGAATGATTGTGTTAATTTGTACAGTAATTTATTATATTTTATCATGGAATCATAGCCTCAAATGCTTCTGCTTTCTCAAGAAAAAAGCCATTCCTAGTAACGGGGAAAGCAGAAGGCAAATTTCTAGCACACAACATATTCACCATTATAACCTGAAATAGGTTAGATTTACTTGATTGGATTGCAAAATATGTCAAGGACTTAATAGCACATTCTTTCCTAAAACAGCCACAGTTTTCATTATATATATTGCACTTTGGGAGTATCCTGAATTTCCTCTAGCAAACTAAAGGTATTGTAGAGTATCTCCTTAAATTTTGGATGAGGAATGCAACATTGTATACATTTTAAGGATTTTTTTTTTCTCTTTTCCCTAAGGCATTTACTACAGCAGTGCATTCTTAAAACATCCATTGGCAAGTATATACCTAGAAAATTAGGATCTCAAATCCAGCTTCTCAAGTCATCTCTTGTATTCCATAGTTAAACAAGTATAGTTGCAAGAAAGATCCATTCACAGTTATCCATCTTTGTGTTAACACAGTTTGTTTAACTCACCACTATTTCTTTCAAATAACAAAATTTACTAGTCTGTCCATACTGAATTACATCATTATTTATATCCAAAGTTTTTGATTTCTGTTGTACCACAATTCAAATGGGGGGGTGTTTTAAGGAAAAGCTTTTGTACATTTGATAGAAACATTGTGTTCTATCTGAAAAGACATTATTGAAACCTTCTGTCCATGTCTTCCACATATGAAAAGATCCCAATGTGTCTTAATCCAAAGTGGTCCATAATTCATTTCTTTGGAATGTCTAAGACTGGCTGTAGCTAGAATTCTGACTTCCATTTGGACCCTGGTCACTTTCACTGTTTGAAACAAAGCAGGAAAGTATTACATTATATATTTATTATTAAAATAATTACCATATTTTTCAGAGTATAAGATGCACTTTTTCCCCCCCTAAAAGAGGGTGAAAATTTGGGTGTGTCTTATACACCAAATGTAGCCCTGCCCAGCCACTGGCTCCCACCCTTTGGCCTCTGCCTCCCATCAATTTACCTCCTTGCAGCAAGCAGCAAACAGCCCATTTCAGATTCAGCACAACCTGATTAGCACAAGCAGTTGATTGTCAGTTGGATCAGCCTCCCCACCCTCAGCTGTTTCAGGCTGCAGGGATTGCCATTGCTTATTGCGTCGCAGGCCTCTGCTGCTTGCTGCAAGGAGGCAAATTGCTGGCAGGCAGATTTTTTTTCTTGTGTTAATCAGGCTGTGCTGAAGCTGAAATGGGCTGCTTGCTGCAACAATGCAAAGTGCTGGCAGGCAGAGGCAGATTTTTTTTCTTTGCTTTCCTCCCCAAAAAAAGGTAGGTGCGTCTTATACTCCGGAGGGTCTTATACTCCAAAAAATACGGTACATTTGATTTTAAGATTAAGATAACCTTTATTGTCATTTTTTTTACTGTGAGCACACTGGCATACATTAAAAATGAATTTTTGTTGCCTGCTCTCAAAGTATATATCTACCCATACACTTTATTAATAATATATATAATCCAGGGGTGAAATGCTCCCGGTTCGGACTGGATCACCCGATCTGGTAGCGATGGAGGCGGGTGGTTCGGAGAACCGGTAGCAAAAATCCCTTCCCCCCCCCCATGCCCAGCTGTGCCGCACAATCATCAGAGGCTTTTTTTTTACTTTTAAAAGCATTTTTTCTACAATCTCTTTGGCCGAAAAAATGCTTTTAAAAGTAAAAAAAAAAGCCTCTGATGATTGCACGGCTCAGCTGGGATCATCTAAGGCTTTTAAAAGAAAAAAATCATTTTTTTCTTCTAAATGCCTCTGATGATCCAAGATGAGTTGCCTGATTGTCAGAGGCATTTAAAAGAAAAAAAGTCTCTGCCGATCAGGCAACTCAGCTGGGATCGCCAGAGCCTTTTGAAAAAATGGTTTTAAAAGTAAAAACAAAAAAATTGGCCACGCCCACCCAGTCACATTACCCAAGCCACGCCCACAGAACGGTAGTAACAAATTTTAGATTTCACCCCTGATATAATCTATATCTATATATCTATATCTAATCAATATCTATCTATCTATATCTAATCTATATCTATCTATCTATCTATCTATCTATCTATCTATAGATAGATATCAATCAATCAATCACTGTCCATTTTGAATACATAGCAGAAAGAGGAAAATTGAGAGTTCACTCTGTTGGTACTATATGGAACAAAATTGACTGCATCTAAATTATCTGGTTTACCTCCTTCCAGACGGTAACAAGAAAAACAAGTGATGAAGAAGATGTGTAGCATCCTTTGATAGTTAATATGCAAGCAGATTTCAACCTTGCCAATGAAACTTCATCCTAATTTTCCCAAGTTGCAATGGCACAGGACATATCTTACCATATGGCATTACTTGCTTTAGTATTTAATATACAGGTGAAACTCGAAAAATTAGAATATCGTGCAAAAGTTCATTTATTTCAGTAATGCAACTTAAAAGGTGAAACTAATATATGAGATTGACTCATTACATGCAAAGTGAGATAGTTCAAGCCTTGATTTGTCATACTTTTGATGATTATGGCTTACAGCTCATGAAAATCCCAAATTCACAATCTCAGAAAATTAGAATATTACATGAAATCAATAAAACAAGGATTGTACATAGAACAATATCGGACCTCTGAAAAGTATAAGCATGCATATGTACTCAGTATTTGGTTTGGGCCCCTTTTGCATCAATTACTGCCTCAATGCGGCATAGTATGGATGCTATCAGCCTGTGGCACTGCTGAGGTGTTATGGAAGACCAGGATTTTATTTATTTATTTATTTGTTTTAATTTGTATACCGCCCTTCTCCAACAGGACTCAGGGCAGTGAACAGCCAGAATAAAACAGACCATACAAAATTTAAAAACAGTTTAAAAATAATTAAATATTTTTGGCCACAATTTAAAACAACCCAATTAAAATCAATTCAATTTAACCGAAACAGTGGGATCAAGCCAGCCCGGCTAGGTGAAATAAATAAAGGATGCTTCTATAGCGGCCTTCAGCTTTTCTGCATTGTTCGGTCTCATGTCTCTCATCTTTCTCTTGGCAATGCCCCATAGATTCTCTATGGGGTTCAGGTCAGGCGAGTTTGCTGGCCTATCAAGCACAGTAATCCCATGGTCATTGAACCAGGTTTTGGTACTTTTGGCAGTGTGGGCAGGTGCCAAGTCCTGCTGGAAAATGAAGTCAGCATCCCCATAAAGCTCGTCTGCGGAAGGAAGCATGAAGTGCTCCAAAATCTGATAGACGGCTGCGTTGATCCTGGACTTAATGAAGCACAGTGGACCAACACCAGCAAATGACATGGCTCCCCAAATCAACACAGACTGTGGAAACTTCACACTGGACTTCAAGCATCTCCATTCTTCCTCCAGACTCTGGGTCCTTGGTTTCAAAATGAGATGCAAAAGTTGCTCTCATCAGAAAAGAGGACTTTGGACCACTGAGCAACAGACCAGTTCTTTTTGTCTTTAG